GGCAGGCACTTAATCAACCAACCAACCAACCAACCAACCAACCACTCAAGTAGTACTGGGCCGGCTGTGTGCCAGGTACCAGGGCTACAGCTGGAGCTTCAGCTCCAGAGGGGTGGGGTGGGGTGGGGGGCGGGCAGCGGGAGGCCTCCCTGCCAGGCACCACCATGCTGAGAGTGGGGTGCCCACAGCTAGAGAGTGCTGGAGCCAGAGCCCAACCAGGTAGGCTGGGTCTGGAGCCCACGCTCCGGCCACTCCACTGCACTGCCTTCCGTAAATGCTGTCCACTGCTTCTGTGGCGGCCTCTGGGGGTCCGACTGGTCCTTGTGACACCCTGGCCCAGAATCCACCTTGAGGAGAGGGCATCCTCTCTGGATTCACAGGGCTAAAGGAGGAATCACATCAGGAGCGGGAGATGCTGTGATCTGTTAGCCAGGCATGATGCCCCCCAGAGATAGGCTGGGATTCTGTAACCGAGGACCAGCAAGGAAACAGCCGTTGGTGAGATGACTAGGGATTTTGCCAGAGTGCCAAATCAACTAGTGATGTCTGCAGCGAGTCCGGAGGAGATGGCCCAGTATGCATGCCACGTATTAGCCACCCGTGGGTGGTGAGGAGTTTGGGAGTCAGGCCTGACTTGAGCAGAAACCTCTTTCCTCGTCTGTAAAGTGGAGGCAAGACTATTTCCCTTGAAGGTGGTTATAAGGATGTGAAATACGTTCGCTCAAACCATCTGGGCATGTGACAAGACCACCCCAAACCTGGTACCGTAAAGCAGTAACCTCAGGGTCCATGAGGCAGGGATTTGGACAGGGCCCAGACAGGGCTTCCCTGCTCTGTGCCATCTGGGGGCTCAGCTGGGAAGACTCAAAAGTCGGTGGGTGACCCAGAGGGCTGGAGCCAAAGTCACCTGGAGGGCCATTCACTCGCAGGTCTGACACCTGCCCAGGGACACCCGAAGGCTGGGCTCAGCTGGGCTGCCCATGACAGGCTGTCCACATACCCCCACGTGGGCCTGCATCTCACAGCGCAGCAGCTGGTGCTTCCAGGGAGCATCCCGGAGGCTGAGGACGAAGCTGCGCAGCCCCAGAATCATGGGTGTCACTTGGGCCTCAGGATCTGGTCACTAAGGCAGTCCAGAGCTGAGGGGAGGGAATTCGAGTCCATCTCTTTTTTTTTTTTTTTTTTTGGTGGTTTTCAATTTCACTCCCTTGAGCACATTATCATTTTCACACATTTTACATTCTTTTTCTTTTACATCCTTTTAAAAATATTTTTTCATGACAGTTTATCATATGATATTAAATATAGTTCTCAGTGCTATACGGTAGGGCTTTGTTGTTTATCCAGCCTATATTTAATAGTTTGTATCTGCTAACCCCAAACTCCCACTCCATCCTTCCCCAAGCCCCCTCCCCCTTGGCAACCACCAGTCTGTTCTCTCCGTCCCTGAGTCTGTTTCTGTTTCGTAGACGGGTTCATTTGTGTCGTATTTCAGATTCCACATACAGGTGGTATCATATGGAGCTTGTCTTTCTTTTTCTGACTTATTTTACTTAGTACGATAATCTCCAGCTGCATCCATGTCGCTGCAAATGGCATTATTTCAGTCTTTCTACGGCTGAGTAGTATTCCATTATATACGTGTTCCACATCTTCTTTATCCATTCATCTGTCGACCGACATTTAGGTTGTGTCCATGTCTTGGCCATTGTGAATAGTGCTACTATGAACATAGGGGTGTGTGTATCTTTTTGAATCAGAGTTTTGTCTGGGTATATGCCCAGGAGTGGGGTTGCTGGATCACATGGTAGTCCGTCTCTTGATGGCGAGGTGACTGCAGGGCCGTTTACAAGGACTGTGCGGTCGCTGAACGCTAACGTGCCTGACTCCATTGTCGGGATTAAACCCACTGTCACGGGGCTAGAAGTCACACTGGTCCTGCCCGAGGACTGGACAGTTAAAACATGACTGCGGGGACTTCCCTGGTGGCACAGTGGTTAAGACTCTGTGCTCCCAATGCAGGGGGCCCGAGTTCCATTGCTGTTCAGGGAACTAGATCCCACATGCGTGCCGCAACTAAGAGTTCACATGCCACAACTAAGGAGCCAGCATGCTTCAACTAAGGAGCCCACCTGCCACAACTAACACCCAGCACAACCAAATAAATAAATGTTTAAAAAAAAAAAATGACCACAGAGAGGTCAGCCCCTCCCCACACCCAAACCTGCAGGACAGCCTGATGTCTGGGGTCACTCAGCCTCTACTGTCCGGGCAGCAAGAGCCACTCCTTGTCTGGCCCCTGAAGTGACTGGATCCTCACTCCATAGCAAGTGAAGGGACAGTGGAGGTTGTGGGTGGCTAAAGCCGTCCCAAACCTGGCAGTCTGCACCTTTAGCATTCCCTGTGCGCCCTGTGATAAATGCTTGTTTAAACCGGGGTGAGGGAATTCCCTGGCGGTCCAGTGGTTAAGACTCCGAGCTTCTAATGCAGGGGGCCTGAGTTCGATTCCTAGTCGTGGAACTAAGATCCCAAATGCCATGTGGTGAAGCCAAAAAAAAAAAAAAAATATATAATATATAAATATATATATATATTTAGATATAAAACCAGGTTTAAACTAGGTTTCTGCAAAGGCAGAGTAGAGGGTTTGTGGGCCATCAGGCCTGCTGTAGGAGGCTACCCAGCTCCACGGTAACTCCAAAGCAGCCACAGACAACCAGGGAGCAGGTGCGATTTGGCCCAGGGTGCCCTGGTTTACGGCCGGGCCTCGAAGCCTCTGATGGACTCAGGCGCTTCTCAGGCCCTTCACGAGGTATCACAGCAGCCGGCTCTGCGACACCACATGCACCGTCCCAGCAGGTGGCGCCAGGCCACTGCCCACAGCCTGGATACCCACGGGAAGGGCGGGGACAGGAGGGGAGGGAGGGATGCCTGGGGGGATGGAGAGCATGAAGGAAACCCCCACTGAATCCCCACACCGGGCCGAGCCTGCGAACAAACACGGCACACTTCGGCGGGGCTCCCCCGGCCCTGCCACTGAGCTGGCTGTGAGGACAAGCCTTGTCTTCGTTCTCGGGGCTACTGAATGAAGCAACAGAACACAGCAGAGCGCATGGTCAGGAGAAGCACTGTTTGTGAAGCTTCTGGAGTTGTTTAAACATGTGCGTGTGTGGACTAGATCACAATGAAAAGATACATCTGACTGTGTGGGCCATGGTAAGAAAACTGAGCTAGTGGGAGAGGCTGGTCCATAAAGGTAGCTTTCGAGGTGTAAGAAAGGCAGGACTGAGAATCCCCCCTGCCAAGGGGGGGGGCGGGGAAGGGGTGGCACATAGTTGGAGGTGGCTTCTCAGAGGTGGGGATATTGATCGGAGTCTTAAAGGGTGAGTAGGAGCTCGTTGGGTGGAGGACGGGTAGAGGGACAGAAAAAGGAAGTGTGAAGGGACAAGTCATGGACAGGAGCAATGGGGCCTCCTCACAGAGCCGGGGAGGGGGGCCTGTATAGGGCATCTCAAGGGGACAGAGCTGGACCAGGGTCTAGGGAAAAAAAGCAGCACCCTGGGGTAGGGTGCAAAGCAAGGGGCCACTGTGGAAACCCAGCAGCAGAGAAGATGCATTTTAAGAATCACTTCTTAAAATATCACTCTTCTCTCCCATCCTCTCCTGCTGCCACTTCGCCTGATCTAGAAACTTCTCAAAATTCTCTGGGCCCCTTCTTCCCCTCTCCAGCATGACCCTGCCAGACTCTCCTCACCAGCAAAGCTGCAGCTTAAGGGATAGGACCACACGTGCCCGCAGGCATCTGACCCCTTCCCACACGACAGGGCGGGGGTGTGGGCGGGTCGGGGTCAGGACTTGCAAGGGGAGGTGACGTGCTTGCAGGTAGGGGCTCCTGCAGGTGGAGGCTCTCCGCCCTGGCGGGTCAGCCGTCTTCTGTAAAGGATGCCCGAGGAGCTGGCCTCTATCAGAGCGTCCAGTACCCAAAACAGCGACCAAGACCAGGACCCGCAGGCACTGCGGAACAGAACCAGCCGTTCCCACCTGTGTGCAACTAGCAGCTTCTCCACAATTGATAGAATTCAGGCAAATGGAACTTGCCGACTAAATCCAAGGAGCGTGAAGAGTTTCCCCCACCCTAACCTCGATCTAATTAAAATGTTTAAACACGTCTACACCGAAATCCTCATTCTCCTGGCAAAGGGCAACCCCAGGGCTCCGTGGGTGTCAGCCAGCCCGCCCTGACTCCCTACACTTGGGGACCTTGGTGTCCGTGGGTGGTCAGCCGGCCAGTCTTCCCTACATTTGGGGAAGTGCGTCCATAGGTGGTGTCACGCAGTCCGCTTCAGACTCGCCGGGTGGCAGACACGCAGGACCGCGGCCGATATCGAGACCATTGGCAAGCGCTCTCCCAGCGCCGGAAGAACAGCTGCGCCCGTAGGGCCCGCGCCTGCGCACTGCCAACCGCCTCGGGTGCAGCGGCGCATGAGCAGAGGAGCTGCCCGGGGACTCCGCGGCGCAGGTCCGCTATCTGCGCCTGCGCAGGACGGGCCGAGGCGCCGGCGGCGTAGGCGGGGTGGTGTAGTCGGCTGGCAAAGTCAGGGGTCGCGCGCCGCGCCGCGCGCGCACGCACGCACGTACGCCCAGGGGAAGCGCCGAGTTCCGGGCGCTCGGTGTCGGCACGGAGCTGGGGGAAGGGAGGCGCTCTCCGTGTCAGCTCGGGCGGAGGGGCGTGAGGGAAGTCCTACGGTGGCCGCAGAGGGACGGCGCTACGGCTCCCACGCTAGGCCAAACGCCGCCGGCCACCGGGCGCGGGAGCCCCTGGCCCTTCGGGGCGGCCCCGGGCGGGGACGCGTGAGGGTCCGGGCCGCGCCGTCGGCACCATGCGGCCGCCCTGCTCCCGGAGCCCCGAGGGACAGGGGGCCGCGCGGCTCGGGACGCCGGCGCTGAGAGGGCACCCGGTGAGCGGGCGGGGGTGCCCGGGCGGGGCGGGGGCGGCTCCCGGGGGCGCTACGGGTCGGCCCTGCCTCCGGGATCTGGGGCCCGGCACCCCCCCAGAAGCGAGCGCGTGGGTGCCGCGCGGACGCCCCGGCCCCGACCTGGAAGCCCGTGGCGCACGTGCGTTGCCCGCGGCCAGGTGGCGATGGGAGGATGGCGAGCGGCCCGCCCGAGGCCGCGACTCCGCCGCGTGAAGGGAGCACCGCCATCTGAGTGCCATTAGCTGCTGTCAGACCACGTTCAGACCGAAGCCTGTGGGAAGGGCTGGGCCTGTGGGCAGGGGAGGGTGGACGCGCCCGGCCTCCCCCTCCTCCGCCTCCGGCCAGAGCACCACGTGGGCGGCCGGAGAGGGAGCTAGCAGAAATCCCCCTGCAGGCCTTCAGGCTACAAGCCATGCGGTGGGACGCAGATGCCCTCGGCAGTGCCTCCCCAGAGCCTGTAACCAACTTTGCTGCTCCGATTTTACACGTCCCGAACTCCCAGTTCTGTGTTTCCAGGCACGATTCAGGCGAGCTATAAATGGCACTTGCCAGGCAAAACTAGAGAGCCACTTGCTGTTTCTCCTCTCCTGTGGTGGCCCAAGCCACAGGGCCCGTGCCCTGCGATAACACCACTGGCCCTGGGCCGTCATCCTCTCCGCCAGGCACGGGCAACACTTGCCCGGAAACGTTCCATTTGCCTATAACCACAGCACCCCTGCGAGCCCAGCGCTCGACATCCCCGTTGTGCAGAGCAGGGACGGTCTCGGGGTGAGGTGACCTGGCCAAGGTCACTCCTGGTGAACGACAGCACGAGGGTTCAGGCCCCGCAGGGGAGCCCAGAGCCCGGTGCCGGCTGCCTGGTCCCCAGCACTTGGCCTGTCAAGTTGCTGAAGGGAACGGCCCCCGTCTGCCCTGTGGACACCCTCTCCCTCCTCCTGTCCTCTTGTGTGGCTGCCACTCGGGGACTTACTCGCCCTGGATAAAGCAGCCACAGAAGCGCAGGCAGGCATGGGCATCCCAGATCAAAGCCGGACGGTGAGTCCAGTGAAGGGGACTCGCCGAGCCTGGGGGAGGGGGAGGTTAGCCAGGGTTTCTGTCGGCCCTTCCTCGTGGGTCTTGGCATTGACTGCCAGGGGGCCTGCGGCCCCTGTCCTGACCCTTCTTCCCGGTGTCGCTGGTGGAATTTTGGTTCCCACGTGATTGGGGCTCCCTTTGGAGTGTCCTCGGTAGCAATTATGAAAAGAGTAACCCCGGGGGATGTGAGCGGATCCCAAGTCCCAGACTCGAGCTCCCTGCGGCCCCGCGCTGGCTGATGTCCCGGCTGACCTGGCTCCTCTCTGTGTCGCTCTCCCTGCAGGCCCACGCCTCCCCCGGGACTCAGCCTCGGCCTCCCAGGCCCAGGCACCCGCGACGCCTATGCTGACTGCCGCCCGGGGCCCAATGCCGGTCATGCCCATCCCCCGGCGGGTGCGCTCCTTCCAGGGCCCGCACACCACCTGCCTGCACGCCGCCTGCGGCCCGGCGCGCGCCTCCCGCCCGGTCCGCACCAAGTACAATAACTTCGACGTGTACGTCCGGGCACGCTGGCTCTACGGCTTCATCCGCTTCCTGCTCTACTTCAGCTGCAGCCTCTTCACGGCCGCGCTGTGGGGCGCGCTGGCCGCCCTCTTCTGCCTGCAGTACCTGGGTGTGCGCGTCCTGCTGCGCTTCCAGCTCAAGCTGTCGGCGCTGCTGCTGCTGCTGGGCCGTCGGCGCGTGGACTTCCGCCTCCTCAACGAGCTGCTGGTCTACGGCATCCACGTGACCATGCTGCTGGTCGGGGGCCTGGGCTGGTGCTTCATGGTCTTCGTGGACATGTGAGGGCGCCGCGGGCTCTTCCGGGGACGGTTTCTGGTGACCCGGCCGTAGATGCACCTGCAGTGGGCGCTTTTCTCGACGCGGTAGGTCGGGGCCCTTTCTGCCCTGTGTCAGAGGCATAACCCCCCCCCCCCCCCCCCCCCCCCCCCGGCGCCTGCGTCTCTGGCTCAGGAAAGGGCTGAGACTTCTGTGAAGGGGACACTGGCGCCCTCCCTCCTGCTGGCCTTTGCTCCGACCCTTTCTGTATGTGGTTTCGGTGCGGTGTCCCCTGCGCCACCTGCTTGTGGTTCCAGCCTGCACTTTCCAAGCTATTCCCGGGGCGGGGGCGCGGAGGGGGGACGGGTATGGGTCCAGTCTGTACTTGGAGAGCCTGTGTCCCTGTCTCCTCTCCAGGGCAATGGTGTCACCAGTGGTGTTGGAGGTCCCCGGGAGGGGTGTGCTACCCAGGTGCAGATCTGGAGGGGAGATCCTCCTGGCCGCACAGCCCCCTCCTGTGCACGCCCGGCCCCCCGCCCTAGCCTTGGGGAAGCGTCAGGCTCCACCAGCTGGTGCACCACACTGCCACCAAGCTCTTCACTCCGCCCTGGGCCACCGAGTCCTCGCTCAGCCCACGGACACTCCTCCATTTGTTACCCTGCGAGGCGTGGGGGTCCTGAGTCCCAGGCCGGGCTTCAGTGGCACCTCGGTTTGCCTGTCAGTGCCTAGATCAGGGGCCAGCCCAGGGGAGTGCCGGGTCCAGGGCACCACTCTTCAAGTGTGGATTTCTGGGGAGGCAACTCAGTCTCTTTCTGGCCTCAGGGGGCTTTCAGTCTCTTCCCCTCAGGGAACGTCCAGGTTCGAGACGTGTCTGTTGGAAGAAACACCTCTTGGAATCAGGGTTGCACCAGGGCTGGACCTCCGAGTGAGGGGCTCAGCGGCCCCTTAGTCCCTGCCTCGGCGGTAGTTAGAGCAGCTGGGAGTACAAAGCAAAAATGAATGTGGGCCAGGAAAGAACCAGTGATCCAGGGGGGCTTCGGTTGCAGAGAGAACATACCAGAGGGCCAGCATTTTGCCCAGACCCCTCACCGTGGCCTCCATCAGATGGGGACAGGGTAGCCGCAGACCTTGTGGGCAGGCGAGGGGCACTGAATAATTCAGCTGGGACAACAGCCAGAGGCGGGACATAGGGCCCCATATTGAGGGTGACAGGGAGGCCGATGCTACTTCACCCCAAGTTGTCCCCACACCCGCAGGCACGGGCGGTAGCCCCTTCAACCCTGCCTGGCCGGGTCCCCCAGTGGCCAGAGGGAGCTGTCGGGGCAGTTGTGTGCCACTGGAAAAAAAAGCCAAATCAGGTAAAGGAGGCAAAAAACACTTGGCTGTAAACTGTGCTCTTTAATTTGTAGCCAGCTTCTGTCGGACGATTGTCCACTCGAGGTCAGTGGACGGCTCCTCCGAGGAAATCGGGGGTGAGTCTCTCCCGGTTACCTGGATGGCAGGCAAGGAGCCGACCCACATGGACCCCACTTCTCGGCGCTGCAGAGGACGTTTTGCACCAAATCATGCTGTTTCCTAAAAGCTTTGTTTTGTGTTAGTTGACTCACGTTACTCTGAGGCCCCCTCTGAGGTGGGCACGTGTCCACGGGGCTGGGGCAGCAGGGGGGTCACGGTGGTGTGGACACAAAGCTGCTTGGTGTCTTGAGTGCCTGTGAAATTCTTTATGAAGTGAGCCACCTGCATTAAACTTATTTTTTTAACACGTTGACAGCGTGACTGTTTAAAGCTCAAAACGTTTATACCTTTTTTAAAGGATATAACCAGCCCAAAATGCCACAGATGCCGTTCTTCACGAGTCAGATCCGAACCTTGCAAAGCAGCCGTCTGCCATGCTGGAGAAGGAGTGTGATGGGCGGTAGGGCCACCCTGCCATGAGTCCAGGGGCCCCACCGCTGGAGCCTGTCCTGGGGATTTGGCTGGGGTGGCAGCGAGAATTTGTCAGCGCTGGCCAAGCGGGGGGCCTGGTGAGGTCCAGGAGGGCTGAGTTCAACCAACAGGCAAGTGTGTATCGTCCTTATCAGACAGATGACGCCCTCAAGTGCCAGGACGGCAGCCGGATGGGAAGACGCTTACCCACAGGAGAAAAACTGGAAGGAATCCAAGGTTAGGAATCCTTGTTTAACCAAAAAGCAATTGGAAAAACGAGTGATAGGTTATTAGTTAGTATCTCTATTGTGTAAAGGCTTCCCTGGCTTCTGTGCAGGGGACGCTCACGTTTCTCCCTTGCAAAGACTTCTTCCCACGTGATGATGAGGGTGATGCCCTTCCACGCAGCCAGTGTGGCCAGAAAATGTGGCCCCGGAAGAGCTGGGGGTCCATGACAGAGCGGCCTAGCTGCTATCTCTGGAATTTTGTGGAACTTGACGTTTCAGAAAAAAACAATCCAAGTCCTTTTGGGGTTTAGCCTGTGGTGGCAGAGTTGGTAAAATCCTCACAAAAGCCTTGGCCCCCCGAGCAGTAGCAGAGGACCCTTGGGAGGGGCAGTTTGCTGCACAAAGCCTGGCCGAGGATCGGGTGGGGATGCGGCTTCCCGGCCAGGAGACCACTCTCGGGCGTGCTGGCTTCACTGGGAGCGGCTGGCAGTGGGCAGCACTGTCCCAGATTTGTCCTCTCGCCGCGCTGGAGCCTCGGGTTTGCCCACCTTCTGCAGCGTCCACAGGCCTCCTGGCCTGGCCTCCCCTTGTTTTGCGCAAGTTGGAGGGTTTTCTTCAGTGGGTCTCTAGACCGGTGCTGTCCAGCAGGACTCGTGTGTGGTGGGGATGCTGTCTGCACTGTCTGGTGTGGGAGCCACCAGCCCGTCCTCCGGGCTGAACGAACCTGATGTCCCCCTGGGGGGACAGTCACCATTTTCAAAGAGCACACGCTGAGCCGGCCGCTGCAGGGAGGCAGGGGCTGTGCCCTAGTTACCAGTTCGGGCACCGTCCAGAGAGGGGTCTCCTGGGCTCTCGGGGCACCACAGCCCGGGGACCCCGGCAGCAGCGCCGCTGCTGGGGGGGAGACAGCACCTGGACGGTGGTGGTGACACCGGGCCTTGATTTGGGGAGAATGGGAGGGTGGGGGAGGGCGGGCAGGCAGTGTGCCCACAGAGAAGGGAGCTGGCCGGGGGAGGGGACGAGCAGTTCCCCAGCGAGAGCTGGGGGCGGGGCGAGGCCTGGGAGAGTCGGAGGGGGCACTGGGAGCCTGGCGGCCTGGGGAGAGGACGGTCAGATCTGGGGGCGGCCATCCCGGGCAGCAGGAGGTCAAGGCTGGGGCAGAAGCCGGCAGCGGTGGGGTGGGGGCGGGGAGGAGGGGAGAGGGGCTTCCCTTCAACAAAGAACAGGGCCTCGTGGTGGCCTCCTTTGCACCGGGTGCCCCGTGGGGCCGGCCCTCCCTGTGCTGAGGGACCCCGGCCCGGAGGGTGGGAGGGGCTGCCGGTGGGAGGTGAGCCAACAGTGGGAGGGAGGCAATGGTAAGAAGGAATTTCTAGAAGCCACACGGTTCTCTGAGAAAGTCCAGGTGCCGCCCAGGCCCCGGGCAGGGGGGGACGAGGTGCCCTCGAGGACACCCTCTTCGTCCCTGTAGCTGCTGCTGGCAGCCCCGGGAGGGGATGGTAGCCGGACCCCCAGGTGGTGCCACCTCCCCGCCTGCCTGGGAGCACGGCCCAGCGGGAGGGACGCAGCAGCCCGCGCCGAGGGCGGCCAGGGTGGGCGCAGCCCACCTCCGGACCAGAGCTTGACCCCCCAGGGCCGCTGCGGAGGAAGGGCCGTCCGCTGGGACCCGCCTGCGGACATTGATGTTCCCTGACCTTGAGAGGTCCCTGTCTGCTCCAGTGCCTGATTGGATGAGGGAGGATGGCAGGGCTTGGTGCTGACTCAGCGCTTCCTTCCCTCGGCACAGGCCGGTCCTCTCCCTTCTCCCTTTTTGGTGTTGTTTGGAAAAGGCCCTCTTCCGGGAAGGTCCTTCTTCTCATCCCCCAGGAGGCCTGGCTCCTGCAGGGGCGGCTTTCCAGAAAATCCCCGGCAGCCTGACAGCTCCCCAAAGTTGGAGGGCCCATCCCCCCATCCCCTCCCCCCGCCTCACCAGCATCCTTGCCCTGGAGGGGACAGGGCCACGCGGGAGCAGCTGATTCAGTGCTCGTGGGCCCGCCCCTCCCCCAGCCGCCGCCGGGCAACATGCCCAGGCAGGCTGGCAGCTGTGTCACCCGGGGCCTCAGGCAGGGTTGCTGTGGCTCTCGCTGTGTGGCCCGCACTGCACCCGGGGCGGGGGGTGGGGGGGTGCAGACTGATGCTGGGAGGGCCTGCGCGGGCGGGTGGGTGGGCGGTGTGCCAGGCGCCCCCGTACAGGCACATCCACGGTCCGATGCAGAAGAGGCCCACGGGAGGGTGCTCGGGCACGGCCACCACAGCCAGGAAGTCAGCTCGTCCTCCTAAGAGACAGCAAGTCTGCCAACCTGGCCGTGTGCAGGCTCCCAGGAGCCCAGGACGGGCAGAGTTCCCCACCTCTGGCTGGTCCAACAGTGGTCACCTGCCGCCCTGACCCAGGTGACCCGGAGCCCCGGGGCAGACACAGGCTGAAAAGGGCGGGTACTGCCACCCGTGCGGACTGGCCAGCTGATGGGAGCAGCCTGGGCCAGAGGGGGCAGGGCATAAGCCAGGACCCCCAAGGGCCCCGAATGACGGGTGGCCCAGGTGGACGCTGGGGCAGGCCCTGAGCCCAGGGCAGGCAGGTGCCAGCTCTGTGGGTCCCGTAAGATGCAGGACCTTCCTCAGCCTTCCCAGTACAGGGAGGGCCATGGAAGTGGGGCGAGCATCCCGGGAAGGGGGGACGTGCGGGCTGGAGGGCTGTGTGGTCAGAGTGGGTGGGGCCTGGGGCAGCCGCCCCGCCCTCCGCCATCTTGTCCCTCTGGACACTGCAGTTCACCCCAGCCACCCGTGGTTGGAGAGTGTCTTCTTCAGACAAAAGCCCCGGAGTCCAAAGCAAGTGTCTGACCCTTGTTCATTACCCGAGGGGACCAGGACAGTGCTCCATTCTGCTTCCTTAGACACCAACGACCAGTCCTGGCTGACACGCTGCATGCATGTTCATACAGAATCAATCAGTGCAGGCTAGGTGGCCCCGGGAGCAGGCACATCCCCGAGCTGAGGGGCCCCAGAGGCTGGGCAGGGCTGTGGGCCCTTCCTTCCTGGTGGGTGCGGAAGGAGCCGGCCGTCCTGCAGTGGAGGCCACCTCCCCAGGCGGTGAGTAGTCACCTTCCTGCCCTCACTGGGGTCAGGAGCCAGGCAGCGGCTGGCCAAGGCCGAGATGGGGAGGTGGACGGTGTGGCCCAGGGCCGGGCACAGCCAGGTGTGCGGGGAGCTCCCACACACAACCTGGGCCCCACTGGTAGGAATGTTGCTGCCCACTCTGACCACCGGCTGCTCTTGTGAAGGGATTCACCTGACCAGAGAACGGGTTTCCAGTTCCTTCCGGTGTGTGCCAGTGCCCTCTCCCCTCCCCCCACCGTGCTGCCACCTTGGCTGGCGGCACTGGGCCTCCCTCCAGCCCGGAGCACCCCTGTCCCTTCTGTCCCATGAGCCCGGGGGCCCCCTGGCCCCACCGCTCAGCTCTGGCTCCTCCAGGCCTGGGCTGCTGCCTGGATGCCCACCTGTGGAGTTTGCTTTGCAGAACCGAGAGGGCCTCTGCCGCCTGTGGCTGTGGGCAGCCCTTGGATGATAGAAATCTGGCTTTTAAGTGGGAATTCGTCGTTTACCACAGCACGGTGACATAATGGTAACACGAATTATTGGTATGTTTTTCAAATTGTACTGCGATGACCCTGTTTCCCCAGCTCCCTCAATGCCTAACAGTGCCCCGTGAACACGACTACCCTAGTCCACAGCCTGGGCTGACTCAGCCCGCGCTCGATACCCACCCGTGTCCCGAGCAGACGGGTCACCGAGGTGCACTTCGGAGCGGCTGCAGCCATTTTTGACCCACCACCCTCCTCTTGCCATGCGGCTGGCCGGTGCGTCCCAAGTCCTGTGTGTGCGTGTGTACACGTGTACATGCCTGTGTGTGTCCTCAGTTTCAAGTCCTACCCTGTTCACCCACGCTCTGAGCAGGGCAGGTGGACGGGTCCCGGCCCTGCCACCCTCTGCGCCCAGGGCTCCCTCTAGGTGCTCTTGGAGAGCGCTGGGGGGCTCGGGCCCCCGGGAATGGGAGGCCCCTGATGGCCATTATCCACGTGCTCCTGCCTGGAAGACAGTGGGCTGTACTCAGCTGGGAGGCTAGTGTCCTGGCTCCGTTTGCCTTTCCTGCTTGGGGTCAGCTGGTCACTGTTGTTGGAGCCCATTCACGTGGGGAAGGGCCTTGCGCCCTACCCCTGGGGAGTCTGGACTCAGAGCCCGAGCAGACGGGGCTGCTGGACACGGCTCTTCCCAGTGGGGCGGGGAGAGGGCCCTGGGGAGTGCAGCCCGAGGCCAGCACGTCCTCCCGGGGCGGGGGCCGCAGAAGACGGTGCCGCGGGCTCTGACGTCCCCTGCGACCCAGACCGGCCTGCGGCCGAGCTCTCCTGGCTCCCTTCTCCAGGGAGGTGCCGGAAGCCAGGGCTGGGGACTGCAGGCCCTGCTGGGGCGTGCAGATTGGATGGCTCTGGTCTTGACCTCAGAGACGCGTCCCGAGGGGACAGCCTGTAGAAGGACCTTCTCAAGGGGACCTGGCACTCTGCACACAGTGGTCGAACGAATGA